GTACATGCCTTTTTTTTTTTTTTTTTTTTTTTCAAATAGCAGTTTTCATAACTGGTGCCTTTAGTGTGCCTGGACTAAAGGTGTAATATTTTGTTCTGGGATTTTAATTCTCCTGGGATTTACGGCTCATCTGAAAATGAGGACAACTGCAGTGTGCTCCGCTTCATCAGAAAGAGCTGGCAGTGTGACCCTTCCTTGGGCAAAGTTTTAGTACCTCTCCCTCTGCCCGACTCTCATGCTGGGGAGGGATCACAGGGTATTTTCTGCCTTGCCATTTCTGGATACTTGCTTGTGAACACAGAAGTTTTGAGAAACCTGTCATCTCTGTTTTCCATTCCAGAGAGTGGATGAGTCTCTGAAACGAAAAAGCACTCTAATTTTGCACTGTGTTCTCAGTTGTTATTTCTGTAAAGGCTTTGTTTATTTGGGAAAGATTTTGGTATGTGAATGTGCTCACACCCTAAATGTTATATTAAGCCAAACATACAGGCACTACAAAATGCAAGTTCTAAGTCGCTTTGAATAATAGTAGCTGTCCTCTTAAAATTTGTAGTCTAATGTTTTTAAACATAGCCTTTTCTATGAAAAACATTAATTTTGACATGAAGTATGTTGATAATAGAGACTGTGTGTTTTTTTAGAATACAAAAAAGCTCGCCAAGAGATAAAAAAGAAATCGTCTGACACACTGAAGCTACAGAAGAAAGCAAAGAAAGGTAACTTGCTTCATACTTGTACTGTTGAAAACCTTTTGTGCTGTGCTCATTGACAAAGAGTGAACAGTGATAGGGCTTTCTATTGTATTAATTCGGTCCCCTGTAATGCATTCCTGGTACGCGCTTGAACACCAGGGTACAATTACTATGTGTCATTTAAATCATATTCTGAAGCTGCTCTCTAATGTTCTTATACAAAAGCCTTAAAATTGTTTGTACAAAGTCAATCATGTTTTAAAATAGAGCACTTGCTGCTAACTTATTCCTGTAGGAACATTGACACAGTAACATGACTTGTGCAGATACCTGTAAAATCTTCGAGAATCTTTTGAAATAATATTAAAAAGCCATTATGTAAATTTTAACTATTAACACTTCTCATCATTCTCCCTTTCTACCACCTTTCTTCTTTTTTTCCTTTTTTTTTTTTATTAGCAGCCTGTGATCTCCTAAACCTTACATTATTCCTCAGAGTTTGAGAAGGTGGCATGGGTTGTTGTCAAGGGGAGGGCACTTGGCAACCATAGAAAACTACAGATGAGTAAGAAAAGAAAAGGAGTTCTCCACAAAGGCAGTCTGTCTTTTTTAGCAGCTGAATCTCTTGCTCCTGTTGCTCTCCCACCACCATCTTGTCACAGGAATTTCATCATCGTGTTAATGGGAACATGCATCATTAATAGCTGCAGCATTGCCATCGCTAAGGGTTTTACTTGGCCAAGTGCAGGCCCCACCAAGCTTTGGAAAAGCGATACGGAGCTGATACAGACTTTCTGGTTCCCTTTCCCAGCACTGGCCTCTTCCCAGCCGGGCAGGGAGTGTGCTTTGAGCAGCCCTCAGCCTGCAGGTTGCAACCTGTCCTTCCCCTCCTACCTAAAAACTGTGAGCCCAGGGACAAGCAACATAATTGCTGGGGTGTGGATTTTCTTGAACTTTTTAACTTGTGTAAGTGTTATCCAGAACAGGTGAGCGGTATCTAGCTGTCCTTCCTAATAGGTGAGTCAATAATTACGCTGGTAGAAAGCCACATGACTGGAAAACTGCTCTTGAGTTTTAATTGACTTTAGATGGGGGGTGAGGGAGGGAGAGATGGAAGCCAGCAAGAGGGAGTTTAGCTCAGTAGGCTCTGTGTGTCTGGCTGTCTGTCCATGGAAGAGTTTAGTGTTTTAAATCAGAATGGTCATCGTTAGGGGGATACAATTTTTTGTGACAAGATTTTATTTTTGAGTGATGCGTAAATACATTTCTCATTTTGTGTGACAAATTGTCTGACCTCAGACCAACCACATTAGAGAGTCTGTGATATTCCCTCTGTTTCTTTTCCTTTCTTCCTCCTGTTTCTGGTCTCATCGCTTCTTGTCCCTGTGTGATACGAGCAACCCCTCAATGCATGGTGTGTGAGAGCTGAGAAAAGCATGTCTGGGATCTGGGAAGAAGGAACTATTTTTTGAACCTGGTTCAATGAATTGACAGCTATCTGGCTCTATCTCCCTTTAATCCGGCTTCTGAGTATTGACTAAATCAGTCTGCAGTTTTGGAGGAGGAAACAGCATTTTCTGTAAGGTGGGAAGAGAAGAGAAGCACTTAAAGCCTTCTGGAAAAAAAATCCCACTGTTCTTGTGCTGTAGATGCCACTGTAGGTGTCTGTCAGCAGTGGTTAAAGCAAGTGGACTTTCTCCTTGGGTTTTTTGGGTTCCTGTCTCCTTCCCCAGATGTGTAGCTCGTCTAGTGACAAGGGTCAGCACACAGATGTCTTGTCCTCCTTCAGGATTAAACATCTCTGAGCGAGGAGTGGAGCAGGCCTCATTTTGCTATCACTTTAATATCAGCCATGCTATGATTGAATTTTTTTGTTTTGTTTTTTTTTAAATATCATTCCCTTGATTAGTTGTACTGTTATGACACGCTTTTGGAGTTGTCAATGAACGTACTGTATTTCTGTGCTGTATCCCTCAGGACTGCTGTCACACACGTGGTGTTTGGGGCCAGAGCACAAACCCAGTGGGACTGAGGTGGGGTTAAAACTGGTTGCAGAGGGATGTGTGTGGGGAAGGTGGAAGTGATGAAGGCTCCCAGGCAGCCAGTACAGGGGAAAGGAGGAGCTGCAGTGTTTCTGAGGAGCTGAGAGTTGTCCTGATGGCCCCTGGGGAGGAGAGATGCAGGGAGGTGTTGAGGCTCCCATGGCTGTGAGAATGAATGCCCAAAGCTGCCGGCCCTGTGGGTTCCCAGCAAGAGTGGGTGGGAGGTGGGAAGGAGTTCACCCTGTCTTCTTGCAGGTTATCCACAGCACTTAAATGTATAAGAAGAAAAAGTAGCAGATGCTTTTCCCCCTCTTTGCCTTTTTGATCCCTGCCTTGAAGGAATAAAGCATCGGTCTGAGTGCAATGTTAAATGTTGTTATGAAAATTTTTTTGTATGTACCCACTTTGAGAGATCTGTTTAATGTGCTACGTGGTGAAGTGTGTTGCTCTTGCTGTCACTGAGGGATTAAAAAAAATCAAGAAGGGGTTTATTTATAAAGCAGTAAAGCTGCAGAAGTGATTCTGCTTTAGATCACACATGAGGTTTGAACTATAAGCAGGGAAACTCTTGGATGAAACTGTCTTGGCAGGCATATGGCTGAGTGCATGAACATCTTACTGTGTCTTCAGCTCTCCTGTTCCCCTGTTGCTCAGACTTACTTTTTTTGTTCTGTTCTTCCTCAAGCAGGACCTGTCCCTTTGATTTTTCTGTAAGGTTACTGACTCACCTATGGGAAGTCTAAACCAACCAATTCATTCCCTTCCTAGCGCTTCTAAGAATAGTTTTGAATTAACCTTATGATCATCTGTGAGCAAGTGAGAGGTTTGCTGAATTCTGGATTTGCTTAAATACTGTGCACGCTACTTAAAATGTCCTTCAAGGTTTTTCTGCTGTGGCTGGATGGGAAAGTGATTTTCTTCTGCTTTGGGTGGCCTCAGATCTAGGAACTCAAATATAACCCTTTACTTTTCTCATTCGCTCATGGTGGTGATGTCTTCTGTGCCTGCTGCGTTGGGCTGCAGAGGCTTCCTCTCATAGCCGACGGCTGCAGCATGCGTGGCAGCTCCTTGCTCCTTGCCTGCATCTCAAGGACGTTTGGGAGAGAGGGCTGTGGGCTGCGTGGCTTGTCCTGGCAGGAGCACCTCAGGCTGGGCACCCCACCTTAGCACGGAGGGGCCAAACACGTTGGGGTTTGCCTGTTCTCCACATTGTGCGTGGTCTCTTTGTTCTGGTTTCATGCGGCCAAATTGAAAGTCCCGGCTGGGCATTTAAGATCATTTATTAGAAACTGTGTTTACAGAGCAGGTGTGTTAATTGCAAGAAAGGTGTTTCCAAAGCTTGGAGTGATGGGGAAAACACCAAGCTTTCTAAACAAAACAAGAAGGTGTTATGGGTCCTTTTTGGAAGTTTGCTGGAGTATATCTGGTAAAATTATGAGTCTGTTTTTAAATAAAGGTGTTGCATTTTGAAAGACCCTGCGGGGCTAATTTTCATTCTTTTTGTTGTCTTTGACTATTAAAAAAAATAAAATCCATATGAAGTCTAAATATGTGAAGTCTGAATAGGATCCTGGTGCACGTCCCAGACCCATGCAGTCCCTCGGTGTTTCATGGGGATTCTCAAGGCTCATCCTTTTCCATACCCTGTTGTTCCCAAGGCAACAGACCTATAGGGCTTGTTGCCCACCCTAAATTGAAACTTAGCTCTTGTCTGAAGAGATGAAGCTGCGTAATGCATGGAACTGCATACATCTTCTAAATTGCTCTTTGTTTTCAGACAAACATTGGACATCAGAAGTCAGCCCAGCTAACCTGAGTCATCAGAATAATTGTGCATATATTTAAAATAAATTCCACGTTTAGGTTTCTGCTGAGTCAAGGCCTCATAAGTGGATCCGTATCTGTTGATGCTATATTGAGTTCAGAGGAGAGATAGCAGCTGTGGCTGTGCATGTAACCGTTTTGGAAGCTTAACAAAATGCATGATTCTTAGTTTAAAAAAAAAAGTGTCAAGCAACTAACTTAAAATATAGCTGAATGTATCTGTCAAATCTGGAGTGCATGTTGGCTTTATTTTATGTATTTCAGCTTGGCTGTTAATGATTAGCTAGAGAGGTTTCCCTTCTGCCTATAACTTCACTGGTAGGTTTCATTTTCAGGTTCTTCGTGTGACACTGTGTGTGAGCTTTGAGGAAAATGTTTAAATCCAAGTGGATTTGTGAAGAGGAGTTATGTGTAATACTCCCAATAATGTAACACGTGTTAATGTGAAAACTGAGTTTCATCTCTAATCCATTCATAGAAGTTTCTGCAGAGTGCCCTTAACATCCAGTACAACATTTCATCTTGTGTCCCATCAACGTTGAGTATCCAAACTCACGACTTCTACTTTTGAGTATGCAGCAGTTTTGGAAAGTGTTCTTACTTTTAATGAAGTTGAGAGCAGAACATGATTATTAATATACTTTAAAACCGTGAAAAGTGCTTTTCCTTCCCCTCCTCCCTGTTAGCAAAGATGACCTGTTTGTGTTTTAGAGACTTTGCAGCTGTTTTTGGGGTTACACTCTGGTCTTTGAAACTGTAATATTGTTCTACTCCTCTCAAGGATGATTGCACAAACCCGTGACTCGTGACTGAAAAACATGAAGCCCTTCAACGTAATTATAGCTGAGCAACATCTCCCTTCTTAAAGCAAATGCTGACCTTCTCATTCAAGTGTTTTGCACTCTGGCTATAATTGGCACTTGCCCTGTCTGGAGTGGCAGGCTGGGGCGGGGGGACCCCTGGCCAGACCCTAGCTCCTCCAGGAGACAGCCTTATTCCTCTAAATTGAGGGAATGTTTCTTTCTTTTTCCCCCCTGCAATGTTACAATGTGAGCTTCACATTATAAAAATTCAGTGAAGACATGTTGCAAAGTCAGTGACCAGAGATATTTCTTTGATTTCTTTTCATTCCTTGAGTTTTGAACGCCTCTTGATAGT